AACATACGGCCGTGTTCGAACACGGAATGGCAACGTCAAAATGCGGACACCAAATCGAGTCGCTGACGCGAGATATCCAATGGAATTTGAACCCAACACGGGGATTCCATGAACTCTCATCCTCTATCTCGATCAAGCAAATTGAAGGCTCAATCTTAACTAAAGCCCGAGGTATCTAACACACGACCGCAGGTTTGAGGAAGTGACAGGGTAGACAGGTACCGGCGGAGAAGAGAACATTTCGGAGGGGTGCTAGGTTGAAGCAGCAATTGAGCGACATTGATGCTAAGAGAAGATATCGCAAACTCCGGCAGCAGCGAGTGCGAGACAAGATCAGAAGACAATTTGAAAAGGTCAACCTATACAAGAAACATCGGATTCCTTAATTTCCAAATCAGGTAACATGTCCTTGCAATTCCGCCAGGGCCTATTGAAAGACGCTTTGACAGAGTCTGGGAAATAGCGATACCAAAATGCTGAAAACAACCTAGACAACCAAAAGAGGGCGCTTGCTTGCATCGATTCTTGGGTGGAGGAGGATTCAAGAGGGAGGAGTATCACAAATTTGGAGTGTGTGTGGGGTGGGAGAGGGGCCATGACCAAAGGAACGGCGGGGGGTAGAGATGGAATTGTGTCAGAAATGCTGCAAAACTTACCGTTCAATTGCGTGGTGCACGCCTCAATGTTATTCCACCGCCGCGTCTATGCCCGACAGTGGGGAGTGGGTGGTGCGCTCTGGAGATGGCTGGAACCCGTGGGAATTCCGAAGATTCGACAAGCCTCGTCCTTCGACGATTTCAAGCTGATCTGCAAAAGTGTATCGTTCCAGAAATGATACCTCAGTTCGGTGGTGCTGGCGATTTCTAGAGCGGCGTCGAATCTCCGAAGCTGTATCTTTGGATTCCAGCCTTGCATGAGTACACTGTTTGTACTTGGCATTATTGTTCGTTTGCTGCGTATTACAAATCCCTGGAAGATGCCATTATTATATCGTTGGATGTCCGTTCGGTCTTCGCTTCGATGTTGCATGAAATCATTCATCTTGCACTCCACCGTCTGCAAATTGATCTTCTTTTGACCAGTGCAGTAATGCGGGAAATACTTCGAATGTCAGCCACCAGATCAATCACAGGCATCGGGGAGAGTTCTGGGTTCTCCTATTCCTCCTCGGGGCGGGCACGAAGGAGTCAAGACCCATTTTCAGTTTGATGTGCTCATCGATTGGGCATTTGGGGGCATATTTGTGGATTGGAGAAGGGAGGGACTGGGAGTTAGTTTCGGCGTGCCATGGATATCCCACTTTAAATTGGTGGGCAATATCACTTTAGTTGCGCAAAGCTACGAGCAAGCACCCAAAATGGTCTCGGAGCTGTGGGGGAGAATGTGGGAAGCACGTCCTAAACTTTAAACTGAAAAAGTGCAAATGCTCGTCGGCAACGGAGTGCATTGGGTCCCAGCGTCCATCTTTTAATAAAGAAAGGCACTGGAAATGAGACGTTTCATATTATGATGGTTGAACAGTTGGAGAACTTAGGCACTGGCTTTGATCGCGCGGGAAATACCACGTCAGCTTTTGAGCATCGCGCAGTAAAAACAACGGCGAACCTGGCCTCGATAAGTTTTCTGCTCCGCCGGAAAACGGCGTCGCGTTCGAAGGTAGTGCAGGCAATCTGCCGAGGGCCGGTCACAAATCTCCTGTTCGGCAGTGCAGCTGGGGTGCCGGACGAGCACGTTTTGAAGTCGATCAAAGCGTTGGCGAGTCGACATCTCCAGACGTTCCTGTGCCTATGGTGGATAAACGGATTGTAGGGTAGACTGGTTCACAACAGTGTACTTCTCAATACACTGCTCAAACCATGATTGGAGGTCTGCCCAGGGACACCATCGATCCTTTAAGGGGTCTATACAACTGGTTGTGGGATGCAAACAACTTATCTTGAGGAAGTGGGGTTAAACCGATCAGCTGCCTCATCCAATACGAAGAAGAGAAAGACAAACATCAGCACCGAACAGAGGGAACAATTGAATTGTAAACGGATTGAGAGGGATGCGGGTGGAGAGTGGAGGGGGGATGCAGGGCCAGTGCAACCCACCGAGGCGGTGCTCTTTGACAAACACTCTCCAGGTTGCAGGGATCGCCAGAAAGGCTCCAGGCAGAGGTGGGGAGCAGCGTGCGATGACTTGAGTTCCCACGTTTGCGATGGCTTTTTCTCTTCTGGCGTGGAACCAAAAACATCCTCAAGCGCCCCCAGGAACCTGACACGGACAAGCCGGCGCCCCCAGAAGTTGTGCGCACCGAGGGCAGCCAGGCACCCACTGGAAGACAAGTTAGCCCCCAACAGAGCGGAAGATTTTGAGGCGGAGGAGTCCCCATCCAAGAGATCCCGAATCGTACGCTGTGGCCATGACTTGAAACTCCTCGCTTCCCAGCTCTTCGAGGACGCATCCCGAAGACCTGGAATGGTCTCTGATTCTCCCATGCTGTCTGCCACGGTTGCGGGGCAGAGCAAACTGAGGCCATACATCATGGAATTGCTCGCTGAAGGAATGGAGCGTCTGGCCTTGTGTTTCCTGTCGGGGGCCAGAGGGCCGCATTCATGAGCGACCCTGTATGTTGGAGGGCCAGGAGCTTTAACGCGAAAGTGGATCGATTGGTGAATTTCGCCATCGACCAAGAGAGCAGCGCCATTGTCGCTTCGCCAGCCTTTTGGGACACTGTGTTGGTATCAACCAGCGTCGTTGGTTGAACGGACGGCGAGCATAGAGCTTCCACTACCAAAAGGGGTTGGGGCTTGGTCCCTCGTAACGTCAACCCACCGTACGACCTGTTCCTGTACGCTTTCAAGTATTGTCCAGAAGCTCCAGACAGTCTCTGGGCGGAGGCGACGGGTATTAAGGCCGCGTGTGTTCTCATATCTCAGATGTATGGTCACGTTGAGGCAATACAGTCTCTCGGTACTTTATTCAGCATGAGCATCGAATATAAGAACTGTCACCCAACGTGGTTTTATTCGAAGCGAGAAAACGTCGGTGCACGCTTCGTTGGGGCATCCTGGCTGAAGGCAGGGACCATAAAATGAAGCCACAACTGGCTAGGCGACTAGTGAACAAAAAGACCACCCAAGAGCGCCCCAAAGGCCTCCAACATAGCCCCAAAACCCTTGTACGCTGCCGTAGGCCTCCGGCATCGAACGATCCGCGAAGGCATATGGTTGACTCCTGGGGCTGCTCAGGCTGATCGCGATCTTCGGTTTGACGGTTGCCCCGCCCCCTCCCATCATTAACCCGCTGCAAGCATCCACACTTTTCCGATCGATACACCTGGCGTGGACATCGCTGCTGGACGGTCTGGCGGGGATGGGCGAACGCCACCAGCACACGCATGCATGTAGATGTATATAGATGCCTGGAGCTCATCCAGTCCAGCGCCGTCCAGTACTCTACCCTCCTGAGCTGTGGAGAAGAAAGAGTACGCAGGCAAAGGGAAGGCCGCGCCGACGAGGAAGATGATGACGCGGGGGACGAGGGCCTACAGGCAAGATAGACAGGAGGAGGACCATGTGGCAGACTAGGACGATGAGGATTAAGGATGACGGGAAGGAAGGGAAGGCGAGTGGAAGGCAGAAGGGGGAAATGGGCGGAGTATACGGAGAAGCTGACTAGTGCGAGAAGGGAGGGTCAAGGAACGTGATAGGGGAAGTATACCAGAAGGGTTCGGCACAAAAAACAAAATGGGGAACGCGGGCGCACGAGTAAGAGGATGCACCTGATGGTGATGATGCTGATGTTGATGTTGATGCTGATGCTGATGCTGAGCTGATGCTGATGATGATGATGATGATGATGATGATGATGATGATGATGATGATGATGATGGTTATGATTATGGTGATGCTGATGATGATGACGGTGGTGAGGATAATGTTTTGTTCGAATACAATTATAAAGGAATAGGTACTGCAGTATAAGTTGGGGTGATTGAACAAAAACGTAACCCTTCAGACTGCCTCGGCTATAGGGGTCGCCTGGTTTGTAAGTCTGGCACTCCTTGAGACGTAAAGCAACAACCTTCCAACACGTGTGGGATTATCGAAACGAGCAGTGCGACGCCACCAACCTCAAAACGCCATGGCGGCAAACGGCGTTGGTCCTGCCTACCCGTGTAACACAAGGTTCTACCTAACGATCTGGCGTGATACCGCCTCAAGGCAACTGCCCAAAAGACGGACATCATGCCCGAAGGAAATCAGGGCCGCCACGACGTCCGAATCTGCACACGGATAACCGACACCGGTGCCCCTCAAAGCGCGACCCTGTCGACGAACATAATGCCGATCGGCTTTACAGCGATACCGTGGAAGACGGAGGCACCTCACCATAACTAGTTACGGCTTCGAGTGCTCACAACCTTCTAAGCAGCCTCCAAGTTATAGGTCCATCACATGTTGATAGAGATGACGGCAAGGAAGAAGAGGAGGAAGAGGCGGAAACTGGGTGGAGGACGAGGGGGGAGGAGGGAGCAGAGGTGAGGACGAAGCGGAGGAGGGGATGACAGGGAGGAAGAGGGGGAGGAGGGAGGGAGAAGGGCGAGAAATGGAGACGGGGGAGGACGAGGAGGCAGGAATGGGAAGGCTGGACCACAACGGAGGAGAGCACGAGGGGGCGGGGAGAGGAGGGAAGAGGGAGGGAGGGGTAAAATCAGGCTGGAGGGGCTGGGGAGAAAGTATATGATCGCGATCGACGGTGCATCGGGAGGCTGGGAGGTTACCCAATCACAAAAAAAAACAAAGCATATACGTGGGCAAGGGAGGGAAGTGTCTCGCCTGCCTGCTTGGCATTGATCCTGGCGAGTAGAAGGAGGAGGAGGAGGAGGAGGAGGAGAAGGAGGAGGAGGAGGAGGAGGAGGATGAGGGAAATAACGGCGACGACAACGACGACGACGACAGCGACGACGACGACGACGGCGACGATGACAACGACGACGACGACGGCCGCGAGGCCTTGGGCAGGCTGCCCACCCCCGCCCACTCGAGGATGCCCGCGCGCAGGCCCGCGAACTGCATCGGGTACCCTGCCGCCACCCCGGCGGTTGCCGGAGAGCCAGGCGCGTCGCTTCTCGCGTCGTGAGGAAAAGCAGCTACGGGAGATGCTGCGCACTCTCGGCCCCCCGGGGGCCCTCACGGGGCCCCGGGGCCGCCGGCCAAGCGGGTTCCGGGGAAGGGGTCCAGACCTCTGGGGAGCCAGGTTCTGAAACAGCACGCCGCAGGGCGTCTGGCGGGGGCAGAGGAGCAGGAGGCGGCGAGACTGTGAGGCGTCTCGCCTTTTGGAAGAGGGGGTGCTGGGGAGCCCTCGTGGGCACCGGCCGGAGGGGGGAAGGGGGACGCCGACCCCCTCGCGTCGCGAGACGACAGGGAACAAAAGCAAGACGGCCAGTGGGCGCCTCGTGGGCGCCTCGTGCGCTGGGCAGCCGCGTAGATTGCACGACATAGCTCATGACGCACAGCTTGCACCACATAGCTCACACGACTGAGCATACATCACACAGCGTGCACCACATTAATTACGTCACACAGCGTGTACCGCACAGCTTACAACACGTGACTTGAACCATAAAGCTTGTACCACATAGCTTATCCCACATAGTTTGTACCACATATAGTACACGGTGCATATTGCATCACCTAGCTTACACCACATAGTTTGTACCACCTAGCTCACACATCCATGACGGAACAACCTACTCTTTGGGGTCCATGCTGGCAAACATTATGTTCGGACTCTTGGGGCCCTCAAGGGGGCCTGGGGCAATCAGAATTACGCGGGATGAACAGCCTGCTCCCGGGAAGAGGCCCAGACTTCTGGGGAGCCATGTTGTCAGAAAACAGGACGTCGGATGTCTAGGGGGAGGAGGAAAAGGCGATGGTGGGATTCTGAGGCGTTTTGCTGTGGGGAAGACGAGGCCTGGGGAGCCATCCTCTCAAAACCCTGGACAGAGCGCGCTCCACGGCAGGTCTGGGAGGCGAGTCTGAGCAAGGGGAAGGTGACGGGGAAGGAGAGTGAGGAGAAAAGGGAGGGGGCTGTGAAACGCCTGCACCTTGCAAACAAATGCTTATCATTGGATGTTCCCCCAAAACAATCAAACGGTATTCTGGCTTTTCGCCCTGTGCCCGCCCGGCGCCCGCCAGTGGGCGCCTCGTGCTGAGTGGCAAATCTGGGTTTTCGCCCGGTGCCCTCCGCCCGCTCGTGGGCGTCTCGTGGGCGCCTCGTGCGTGTAGTTCCGGGTTTTCGCCCAGTGCCCGCAGTGTCATGCGCGCCTCGTGGGCCGTCCTGTGAGCGCCCGCTCCACGCCACATAGCACCTCATGGCTTGCACCACGGACCACAAAGAGTTCACCACATAGCTAGCACCTTATAGCTTTCACCACAGAGTTTACACTGTACACCTCACACCAAATGCTTGCACCACGTGGCTTGCGCCACGTAGCTTGCGCAACATAGCCTGCAAAACACAGGTTGCACCACATAGCTTGCACAACATAGCATGCACTCCATTACGTGGACTATATACACATACATGTTCTATACAAAGACATGTATATATTCCCCCCGGAAATAATTTGAAACTGCCGACCCTCACCGAGGAAACCATTAACAGTACCCCTGCGCGTATCTTGCCACACCTAGTATGCACGATCGTTCATCCTATATATAAGATAACGTGTACTCCCCGGTCAGCGGTTATCGACAGCCCCCGTCCCCACCCGCATCCTTGTCAACTAACTAATTCCATGCGGTGCACATGATCTAAGACGAGCGTTTACAACAGCAAGTTACAACGAAGTATTACACGCGTTCCGCCGAGCACGCGAATGCCAAACTCATTACAAAACAAATTGATATCTCACAAGTCCCAAACCTAGAAGCTCCAACAACTATCAAATGCAAGTAGTGCGTCAACAAAAGATGCCAGAATTCTACGCGCACGTTCTCGCTGGAATTATGCAAAACTATCGATGCCTAGCCAGTCTGTCAAATCAAGCCATTCGGGCCACACGCGTGCGCATGTCGAAAACGATAAACAGCCACCGCTCGATCGCCAAATCTGTCAAACATTACAATGTCGGCCACACGCGAGCGTCTCCGCGCGCGCACGTCGAACTCAAAACCATGTGTGTTCAGAGAGTCTCAACGCAGAATGGCTTCAAACACATACGACACTCATCAAATGTTCAATGAAAATGTATCCGCAATGTTGTACGCCTGCGCACGCGCACTTCCTCAGCATCCTCATCTGCACAATCGTTATCGTCATCACCAGCGTCATCAATGTCATAGTCATCGTCATTCCCATCGCCATCATCATTACCATCATAATCATCGCCAACGTCAGTGTGACCATCGTCGTCAATTCGTCATCGTCGATGCCGTCGCCCACGTCAAATATCTGCGGGCACTTCCTCATCATCCTCACCGACTCCATCGTCATCATCCTTGCCAATGTCATCATTGCTCCTGTCATTCTCGCCACCGTCAACGTCATTACAACTATCATCGCCGTCATCGGCATCGTCCCTACATTCGTCATGGACATCATCATCGCCATCGTAACCGTCGTTGTCGCCGCTCAGCGGGGTTTTGACCACACAGCGTGCACCACAGATGCCACAAAGTTTACACTGCGGAGCTGACACAGTATATCGTGCACCACGCAGCTTGCACCATATAGTTTGCATAACATAGCTTGCACCACATGGTCTGCACATCCAGGGTGCAAGAACTCACTGCTTGGAATCCACGCTGGTACACATTGTTTTCGGCGGTTTCCGAAGGTCCCCAAAGTTCCCCAAAGTTCCCAAACGTTTCAGGAGGAGGAAGGGAGTGGTCTCCTCCTCTCTAGCTTGCCATCGCTGCCCCTCCTCCTCCTCCTCCTCCTCCTCCTCCACCTCCTCCTCCTCCGCTTTCTCCTCCTTCCCCTGGGGGGTCAGCAAGTAAAGCCAGGAGGGCAATGGAAGGCAGCGTGGGGGATCCGAAAAGGGGCAAGGAGAAGGGAAAGGCAAGAGGGCACATGGGGCAGGGATGGGAAAAAAGCGGGAGGGGGGGAGAAGGGAACTGGGCGACGGGGGCCTTGGAACGGGAGGGGGGGAGGCACGGGGTCAGGGATCAGGGGCGTGCAGCCTCGAGCGGAAGACGAGGAGTGCGACGATCCTGCTGGGGTGAGGACGAGGAGGAGACAGGCAACCCGAAGAATGCACCGCTGCGCCATGGCTCTGCTGCTCCCGCGCCTCCTCCTCCTCCTCCTCCTCCTCCTCCTCCTCCTCCTCCTCCTCCTCCTCCTCCTCCAGGCGCTCCATCTTCCCCTCCCGCTCCTGCGCCTCCTGCTCCACCTCCGCCTCCCCCTGATCCATGCCCCTCCTCCTCTCCTCCTCCTCCTCCTCCTCCTCCTCCTCCTCCTCCTCCTCCTCCTCCTCCTCCTCCTCTCCTCCTCGTCCACCTCACGCTCCACATTCCTTCGTCGTGCTCCTTGTCCTCCTCATCCTCATGCATGCTACCATTCATCCTGTACCTCCTCATCTCCACCTCCACATCTTCCTCCTCTCCTCCTCCTCCTCCTCCTCCTCCTCCTCCTCCTCCTCCTCCTCCTCCTCCGTCTCCTCCTCCTCCTCCTCCTCCTCCTCCTCCTCCGATGACGACGACGCCCACGCCCCTCCGAACAGGGTCGAGAGGCCCACGGCGGCTCTGGCCGCCCACGCCAGGGGGTCGGAGGTGGCGTAGTTGAGCAGGACGTTGCCCTCTGCCCCACGGCGAGAACGACGATGAGGACGACGGCATCGATCACGCGAGGGCGGCGGCGGCACGGAGCCCCATACAGGCGGGTTTGGGAAGAGACATAAAACAGATTCCAACAGAAAAATCAAACAACATCAAAAATGGTAGGAAAAACCGTCCCCAGTCTATTTTGATACTATTTTTGAATCTATTCCTCCTGTAGAGGAGGGACGTGCCCGACTTCAGGCCAGTGCCGCTCTGGGGGGGGGGGGCTGCTCGGGCGCCCGATGCCGCCCTCCGCGCTCACCCTGCGCCTCGCGCTGGCGCGCTGGCGCGGGCGGGCAGCGGCGCGGGCCTGCCTCTCAAGGTCGGCGGCACGGAGCCCCGAAGCAGCCCCCGGGGAGCAGGGTGGGGGCAGTACGGTTAAGTCGGGCCTGTCCCCCTACAGGGGGATTTTCGGCAGGGCAAAAAAAGATACCCCCAAAATAATCAAAAAATCATCAAAAATAGTCAGGGGACTATGTTTTGAGTATTGTTTGACATTTGTTGGGGGGTATGTTTGACGTATTTGTCAGTTTTCGTCGAAAATTCCCCTGTAGGGGGACACGCCCGACATAACAGTACGGCTGCATCCCAAGTCTCGGGGCTAAAAACACCGTGATTAGCTTTAAAGGTAGGCGCCACCCTGTGGCGCAGAGGCTGGGTTCAGCAGCGCCGCCCCTCACGGGCTGCTCGGCCCTCGGAGCAGTTGCCTCCTCCGCCTGTCTCCCATGTCATTGTTGCCGGCGCTTCTCTCCTGTCATCCTGTCCTTTTTCACCCGCGCTGTGGTTCGCAAAACGTCAAAACCATAATCCTCCTCCTGTTCATCCTCGTGTTCCTCCTCCTCCTCCTACTGTTTGTTCATCTATGTCATCGTGTTCATTCCTCCTCCTCCTCCTCCTCCTCCTCCTCCTACTCCTCCACCTCCTCCTCCTCCTCATACATAATCATGCGCCTTCTCCTCGTCCGTCTTCTCTACTTGCTCTTCGTGCCAACTGCCTCCTGCATCCCGTTTCCTTACCTATGCGACCACCCTGCGGGTGATAAGGAGGTTGGGGGGGGGGCCCAGCAATGGGCAACAGTGGTGAATGTTGTTGTGACAATGCCAGTGGAGATAGTTGTGTTGCCGCTCGCTCTTGGGGCCGTTGGTGTCGAGTTGTTTACGTCTCCCTTCCCCTGGGAACCTGCCCAACCTGCGCAACGGCAGCTAACGGCGCCATTTGGCCACAGACGACTGAAGCGCTGGCAAAGCTTGGCGCAGCCCGCGCCGCCTCTTGCACTATCGATCTCAGTATCGACCTCTCTATCGGTCTCACTCAATCGAACTCACTCGATCAATCTCACCATCGATCTCAGAATCGATCTTTTCATCGATCAAACTCACTACCGATCTCACAATCGATATCACTATCGACGTCGTCATCATCATCATCATCATCATCATCGACATCACCATTAACATCATCTTCATCATCATCATCATCATCATCATCATCATCATCATCATCATCATCATCATCATCATCATTATCATCGTCATCATCGTCATCATCATCATCAGCATCATCATCATCAACGTCGTCATCATCACAATCATCATCACCATCATGGCCATCATCACCATCAGCATCGCACAATCGATCTCACATTCGGTCTCACTATCGATATCACAATCGATCTCACAATCGACGTCATCATCATCATCATGATCATCATCATCATCAACGACACCAACATCATCATCATCGCCATCAACAGCATCATCATCATCATCATCATCATCATCATCATCATCATCATCATCATCATCATAATCATCACCATCATCATCATCATAATCATCCACGTCATCATCGGGACACCGACGGGACACCGAAGGGACACCAGCGGGACACCGGCGGGACACCGCGCGGCACCGGCCGCCCGGCCAAGGTTCTTTTGCCCCGGCCGCGCCTCAGCCACACGGGACACCAGCGGGACACCGGCGGGACACCGCGGGGCACCGCGGGGCACCGGCCGCCCGGTCAAGGTTCTTTTGCTCCGGCCGCGCCTCAGTCACAGGAGACTTTCTCTCGCCGGCCCACGCGGCTTCGCCTCGCCCGCACGGCACGCACGAACACGAAACCGAAATCGATTTCCCGGTAGGGGGGCTCTCCGTTCCACTTCGATCTCACCCCCCAACCTCCGATATCTGCATCCTCCCCGTCACATCCCCTGACGTGCCCGTAGGTCGTAGCGAGCGTTTCGTATGTTACCTCAACACTGCGCGTGATGCAGAGGATTCAGATGCACAACAGCTGCAAGGATGCAGGGGGCGTTTTCAAACTGCAGCTCCTGTTTTAGCACAGCACACATTCGTCTTGCCTTGCGACAGCTCTGCAGATGGAACACAGGCCGTTTTCGAAAATGGGGCTATCGCCTCAGCGCCGCGCGAAGTCGTCCTAAAGGCTTGCAGCAACACTTACAAGGATGGAGCAACAGACGTGTTCGAAATGGAGGTCCCCCCTTAGCGCCGTGCACATGGGTTTACACTTCCAACAGCTACAATAATGGAGGGAGTCGTTTTCAAAATGCAGTTGCTGCCTCAGCGCCGCGCGTATTAGTCTTCATACAAGAATGGAGGACGGCTCCGGTTCAAAATGGGGATCTCACGTCAGCTCCGCGCAAGCTCGTCCTAAAAACTTGCAGTAGTTACCAGGCTGGAGGGCAGCTCCTTGTTCAAAAAGAAACTATCGCTGCAGACTTCCTCAACATTGAAGACAGAGGCTTAGGCTTCAACGTATATAGTAGCTGGACGGATCGAGGACGGTTTCCCTCATAATGAGGCTCTCGCTTGAAGATTTCCTCGAAGCTCATGACCAAAGTGCACGATCGTGCAATAATTGCACTGGTGGGGGGGTCCTTTTTCAAAACGGGGATCTCGCTAGACAGCTCGATGAGCTGCATGATCCGACTTCACTTTCAAAACGGGACTCTCGCCTGAATGTCAGGATCGCAGGGTTGGTCTTTCAGGGAAGCTCATATCGCATTGAGAAGGGCGGGCACTAGGAGCGAGAGGGCGTATTGCAGCATGGCTGATGCATCTGGGGTTTGCTACGGGATCCTCCTCCTCATCATCCTCTTCCTCCCCGTCCTGTTCTGTCTCCTCTTCCACCTCCTCCTCTTCCTCCTCCTCCTCCTCAACATCATCATCATCATCCTCCTCATCATCATCACCACCACCACGACCAACATCATCATCATCGTCATCATCATCATCATCATCATCATCATCATCAACATCATCATCACCAGCATCAACGACACCATCGCCATCACCATCACCATCGCCACCAACACCATCATCATAACAACCACCACCACCGCCAACGCCACCGCCGACACAAAAATCATCAGCATGACCACCACCATCATCACCATCACCATCAGCATCACCATCACAACCACCATCACAATATGAATATTCTTCTTCATCATCAGAATCATCCTTATCCTCATCCTCATCATCATCCTTATCCTGATCCTCAGCATCATCATCATCCTTATCCTGTTCCTTATCCTCAGCATCATCCTCATCATCATCCTACCCTCGTCCTCATCCTCAAGATCCTCATCATCATCATCCTCATCCTCAGCATCATCACCAGCAGCATCCTCAGCATCATCAGCATCATCATAATGATCCTCATCCTCATCCTCAGCATCATCACCATCACCATGACGATCATCATCATCATCATCACCACCACCATCATCATCATCATCATCATCATCATCATCAGCATCAGCATCAGCATCAGCATCAGCATCAGCATCATCGCCTACCACCCTCCTGTTCCCTCGTCCCTCGAACTCCACCTGATGCTCAGCCTGCTGCTGATTCCCCTCCGCTCCCTTCTATCGGGGAGACGTAAGACTCGGGCTCGGGGGACTCGGGTTGGCCTAACGGAGCCGTCACGAAAATGACGAGACCCAATCTGCAATTTGACGCGATCTCCCGCCGCAAACGTCCCACGAAAACTGGACCTGCAAAATCCAGGACAGGAACGTCAAAAAACGTCAGCAATACCGAGTTCCAGCGAACTAGGGTTGGCAGCGCTTTGGTCGTCGCCGCCGCCGTCGCCGTGCTCGTGGCCGTCGCCGTCGAGGCCTGCGCCGCCGTCGTCGCGATCGTCCGCGGCGCCGTCCGCCGTCGTTGCCGCGGCGTCCGTCGTCGTCGCTGTCGTCGTCGTCGTCGTCGCGCGGCCTCGCCCCGAGAAGACCCATCGTAGTGAACCCGGCAGAGAGTCAAGATCTCCCACGAGAGCACTTTGACGCCGTTTTCACAAGCGCAGACATGCCCCGTGGCAGGATTGTGAATAGAGAGACGAGCGAAGGGACGACACGACCGCGGAGGACGCGGGGAGGGGGGGGAGCCTGGGAGAGGGGTGGGGGGGAAGCACGGCGCCGCGCATCTGGGCCCTCCGAGGTTCACACAAAGCTCGACCTCCGCGGAGCCGGTCTGACGCATGTGTCTCAACTACAGGCTGAGTGCTTCACAGCTGCCCGCCCGACGGGCGTGAGATCGGCGCGAATCTTGGGCAAACTCCGATGGCTGCGGACAGCAGCGACTCTGCCGTGCCATATCAAGACAAGGCAAAAGTGCTCAGAAACGGCTGTGCGTTTGCATGGGGGCGTCTGTCGCCAGACTGCTGCGGATCACACGGCGGTTCACGTGTACACGGCAAGCGCCACCTCTTCCTCTTCTTCTTCTTCTTCGGCGCAGCGGATGGCGCCTGTTTTGCAACTCCGCCACGCGAGAGACGGCCAACCTGTCGACAGACTGCGTCAGCGTGGGGGACAGCGATAGGGTCGGACGGGCTCCGGGGGGGGAGCCCGTCGAGCCGGAACCGGCGGCACGTCGCCGCTAGATCAGAGCGACGACTGGCCGCCCGGGCCCCCGATGGCGAGCCCACACGCTCCTGGGCGGGGTGGGCCGACGGTCGGGCCCTCCATCGGCGATGAGTGGGCGGTCGGGGTCGATGCATTCCCCCCCCCCCCGAGGCGGGGGGTCGGCCGACTTTCGGGCCTTTTCTCGACGATGAATGGGCGATTTGATGCATCCCCCCCGAGCCCGTCCGCCGCGAAGCGTCCCCCCCGACAGCACTGCAGGGCACGGCGCGGCAGGCGCGCAGCGCGCACCACGGCCCGGCGAGAACAGCAGAACAGAACTGCGCGAGGAGCACAAGCGCTCCGTGCCACGGGGAGCCGCCCCGACGCGGGAGGACAGACAGCGCCTCTCCTCACAGGCCTGAGGGGAAAACGCCCTACAGTCGGACATAGGCCATCAAACGTCCCTCAAGGCCATGAGACCCTCCGCCGGCCAACACACAGAGAACATCCAAGGGTACCTTCTCCAGGATGCACAAAGACATCCAACAAACACGAAGAACATGCGGGTACCCTCCCCGGACCGACCTCGATCTTACATGTCGGTCCGACTGTATGTGACAGGAGGGAGGCGGATGGAAGAGCAGAGGAAGACATGGGGAACTGAGCGGGATCTGCCAACCCGTCTTAGAATAAGCGCTGAGCTCGCGAATTGGAGATGGCTGCAAGGCGCAGTACGGGCAAAGAGAGAGTCTGCCTCTTGCTGGCCGCGGCCAAGGCCACCCGTGAACCAAGGGCAGGCAGGGGGACGTCGGGGAGAGACTTGCTCAGAGGCGGGGCGGGGGGGGGAACATGGACCTGAAATCGGCGGTGCATCGCCAACCGATCAGGGATGAGCCCCCCGATGGCGACGCCGCGCGCTCCTGGGAGGGGTGGGCCAGCAGTGGCCGCTCCACGGGCGATTGGGGGGGTCGACGCATCCCCCCTCGAGCCTACCTTCCCCGAACCTTGCCCCAGACACTTGGTGCGCGGCGCGAGGGGGCAGAGCGGGGGTGCCAGATCCGAGCGCGCCCGTGCGCCCGCGCCCCGAGGCCCTTCTTGCGCACCGCCGCACAGACCCGCCTCGAATGGACCCCGCCAGACCCCAGCCCTCCTCCTCCTCCTCCTCCTCCTCCTCCTCCTCCTCCTCCTCCTCCTCCTCCTCCTCCTCCTCCTCCTCCTCCTCCTCCTCCTCCTCCTCCTCCTCCCCCTCCTCGAAGAGGCCCCGCACAGCGCACAGCCGCACAACCCCGTCTCTCGGGGCTCTCTGCGACCAGAGCTCCGAGGCGCACTCTCGGCGGTGCCGGCGAGGGCCCCCCAGGGGATGCCCGACGAGGCGAAAGCGAGGCAGGGGCAGGGGTCACAGGCAAGGGCCTGTTCCTCCTCTGACCTTCAAGCAAGACCAACAGGCACCGGGAGCAGCCCCCCGACCCTCGATGGGACGCGCAGAGACATGGTAGTACTTTATGTCCACCTTGGAGGCGCGCACCCGACCCGAACATATAGTATACCCATCTCGTAGAGCACCGTTTCGCCAGCGGTGGGGCCAGAAAGCGCCCGCCACGACGCATATACAATAAGATTTCTCGGTGCGCGCGTCGCCCCTGGGGGGGCGACGCACATCAGAGAGAGGGGGCCGAACGGTCATTCATTGTCCGTGGGTGCGTGGCGAAAGTGAGAATCCGTGGAAAGGATTATGATTGTTGCGTTGTTGTTGCTGCTGCTGCTGCTGCTGGTGTTGATGTTGTTGCTGCTGCTGCTGCTGATGCTGTTGTTGTGGTTGTGGTTGTGGTTGTGTTTGTGGTTGTGGCTGTGGTTGTGGCAATTTGATTCTTATTTCTGAATAATAAATATTGTTGATCCCCCCTCACCGGTGCATGCTGTTTTTTCTCAGAATGTGCCCCTCGACGCTCGCACCCTGTTTTTTGACACGGAAAGGTTTCCTGCTCAAACTGGCCCCCTGGCTCCCCGGGTTACAACAACAATGGCTCCCGCCTGAGACTTCCTCGCATTTTATTCAGGAATCGCGCTCTCGCTTGGGAATTCCTTGCAATGTATGCAGGAATCGCTCTCCCGGCGCTCTGGAGTCGCGCTCTCGCTGGAGACTTGCTTGCAACTTACTGAAGAATGGCCTTGCGTTGGAATTTTCATGCAATTTGCCCAAGCGCCGCGCTCCCGACACCCAGGCACCCAGGAGTCGTGCCCGTTGTGGCCCCATGTGCATGCCCTTCGTGGCCCCGTTGTCGCCATTTGCGTCCCCCTCAGTGTCCTACGTGGCCCAGTTGCTACCCTCAGTGGCCCCATAGTTGCCTTCTGTGGCCCCGCATTATTTGCACTTCGTGGCCCCCGCTCGTTCGCGCTCTTCGTGGCCCCATACACATTCCCTTCGTGTCCCCGCTGTCGCCCTTCGTGGCCTACTTCGTGCCCTTCGTGGCCCTGCTGTCGTTCTCTCTCGTTCTCGCTTTCGCTCGTCGTCGCCGTCGTCGTCGTCGTCGCCGTCGTCTTCGACGTCGTCGTCGTCGTCGTCGTCGTGGTCGGTCCCTGTCCGTCCCTCGTGGAGTCGGGTCGACGGTCCGCGGGCGCCCCGCCGCTTGCCGGGGCGCGGCCTGCAGGGAAGAAAGGTATACCCCCCAAAAGGGGTTCGATCGAAGACGAAGAGGGCGGGTACCGAGGGTTTGGGAAATACGCGTTATTGGACACTCGAGCATATAAGGGCGAACAGTCTTAAAATTATTGTTGTTGGTTGTTGTTGTTGTCCCAGCCGCGACCCACCCGCGACCCACCCCGCGACCCACCCGCGACCCACTCCGCGACCCATCCGCGACCCACCCCGCGACCCACCCGCGACCCACCCGCGACCCAACCCGTGACCCACCCGCGACCCACCCGCGACCCAACCCGTGACACAGCCGCGACCCACCCGCGACCCACCCTCGACCCACCCGCGGCTCACCCGCGACCCAGCCGCGACCCGGCCCGCGACCCACCCGCGACCCACCGTCGCTCCACCTGCGACCCAACCCGTGACCCATCAACATCGTTTTAACAAAAAAATCGGCGCCTGCAGCGGGCTCGTTTTATAGCTTGGAGAATTCTGCGCCTGCGGCGGGCTTCTTCAGAGCCTCGCAGACTGCCGACGTACCCGCCGCCCCCTCACTCCCATCCGCCATTGCAGGGTGCTGCGTATGATAGAAATATGCTGGGGTGACGCCGACTCGACACCACCGCCGGCCTCCAGCGCATCGCCCGCGCGCCCAGTGGCAGCAGGGCACCCCCGCCTCGGCCGCCCCCATCCCCCCCGTCGGAGCCTCGGTGTGCCTGCCGAAGGTCAGGAAGCCGAAGGCCATGACGCCCGCGTACTGCAGGGCCGCGATGCCGAAGCCCTGCCCGGCCCCGCGCCCGCTCCCCGCGCCGCAGGGGGGCGCCGCCGCTGTGGATCCTCGGCCCGCGCCAACGGCATCTGGCCGAAGAGGGGTCATCGGGGGTGAGGAGGAGGAGGAGGAGGAGGAGGAGGAGGAGGAGGAGGAGGAGGAGCAGGGGAGGCGGCACAGCAGAGAGGAAGAGAGAGAGAGAGAGACAACAGGAAGGAGAGGAGGTGGTCCCGGAGTCGTGGACAAAAACGACAAGGCTGGCGCGTCGGCCCCGTTTCGGCCCTCCCCAGGGCAATCGCGGATCGGCTCACTCTAGAAGTGAGGAAGGAAGACGCGGGCAGAGAGCTCTGGTCGTTGCTGATGGCGGCGCCGTGTGAGTTTTTCACGGCGTTGAACGTCACAGATCGTGTTCATCATGTCGTGCTGCTTTCTAATGCCGCACCTTTCAAGACAAACGTCCTCATCCTCCTCGTCCTCCTCTTTGTACTCCACCTCCTGATCCTCCTCCTCCTGCTCCTCCTCATCGTCCTCCTCCCCTTCCCCCTCCTCATCCTCCTCATCATCCTTCGAATCATCATCGACATCAGCATCATCAGCATCATCATCAACATCATAATCAGCATCAGCATCATCATCAGCAGCAGCATAATCATCATAATCATCATCGGCATCATCATCATAATCAGCATCGTCATCGTTATCATCACAACCATCAGCATCTCCATCATACTCATCATCATTGTCACCAGCATCATAATCAACAGCAGCATCCGCATTACGATAATCATCAGCAGCATCATCATTATCATCATCAGCATCATCATTATAAGGATCCTCATCGTAGTCATCAGCCTGATCAACATAATCGCCCCCCTTCATCAGCAACATAATCGTCGCCACCACCACCACTGGCACCATCATCATCATCATCCTCATCATCACCATCCACATCTACACCATGAGCATAATGTTACCATCATCATCATCATCATCATCATCATCATCATCATCATCATCATCATCATCATCATCATCATCACAACAACCGTCAACACAATACAAATCCTCAACATCACACTCAGTAAGATCCACATCACCGGCATGAGCATCATCATTCGTGGCTTCATCACATTCACGATCTTCACCTTCATCATAATCATCATCACCATCATGATCATTGTCATCAGCATCGCCATCATCACCATCATCATCGTCATCAGCATCATCATCATCAACATCATCATCATCAATATCATCATTACCACCATTATCACCATCATCGACAACAACATCGGCATCGCCATTGTCATCGTCATCCTCCCGGTAAGCCTTCCCACGCCACAAAATCATCCGAGAGCCACACTTCTCAGACCTCCCTCCATCTCCCGAGACCACCTCTCGGGGCGCACGACCGCCCCGAGAGGCGCTCCGGGCGAAAGGGCCTCGACCGAAAGAACAAATGGACTCTTTCAGCCCCTCCCCCTGCTCCACCACCACCCGTCCTTGCGAGGCGGCGGGTCATCCATCATCAGCGCCTCAGGGATCGATCTTCGGGGACCTCGGTAAGCGACGGATATGGATAGGTATCTCTGCCACCCGACATCATGCCACTATATGTATATATATATATATGTATATGTATACATGTGTATATATATATATGTGTAGATGTAGATGTATTGGAGGTTAGAGAGTGAGATCGCAAAGGAACGGAGAGCCCCCCACCGGGAAATCGGTTTTGGTTTTATGGTCGTGTCGTGCGTGCGGGCGATTGGAAGATGCGTGGGCGCGCGAGAGAGCTTGCCTTGCCGTCGCTGGGGCGATTCGGATGCAGTGGACCGCCCCTCTGCTCCCGGTGGGTGCGCGGTGGCCCGGGGTGTCCCGCCGTGGTGCCCCGTTGGTGTCCCGTTGGTGTCCCGTCGGTGTTCTGTCGGTGTTCCGTCGGCGGTGGGCGGGCAGTGGCCGGAGGTGTCCCGCCTTGGCATCGATGGTCATGTCGATAGTGAGATCGAGAATGGGATCGCTAGAATGGGATGGATAGTGTGATCACAAGTGATATCGACAGTGTGGTTGATTGCGACAGCGGTTGTGAGATAGAAAGCGGGGGCGACAGTGACATTACATCGCAGCGCAACGTGGTCATCACGCGCAGACTCCAGCTCGAGGGCGCGTCACCAGCATCGTCATCATCACGCCCGTCACATCTGCCAGCAGCTGGTTCTTTCCCCTCCCCCCAACATCCTTATCACCCGAAGGGTGGTCGTATAGGTATACGTATATGTATATATATATATATATACATATATCCGCATCCGCGGCCTGCCGAGGTGCACGAAGATCGATCTCCCAGACAATGGGGATGGACCCGTCCCCGCCTCGAAACGGCCCCCACTTCTCCCAAAAGGCTCCCCCGCCCCCATTCCCCCCGCCGCGGCGGCGACGAGGCCGAAGCGGCGCAGCTTCCGCTGCCTCTCGGGCGCGGGCAGGTCCGTCCCGCTCGGCTGGAGCTCCTCGGCGCGACGCCCAGGCAGGATGAGCAACACACTGCAACGGGAGGGAGCTGGAGGAGCCAAAAACTGTACAAGCCTAAAACTTTCGACGGGCGGGGTCCGGCGCCGATCCAAGGAATCCGCGCGGAACTCCAACAGTTCCATTGATTGGCCAAGAAAGGATCCCCTAAGCCTTTGGGAAGGGGCCAAAGATAGGCGGGCCAAAAAACACGATGGACAAGGGGGTCATTGATTCTGCAACTGTATCAGACCAAGCCGCCCAGATGCACGATCCCTCATGCGAAGACGGGGGACCCGAGCGAGGCCACGTCTCTTCATCCTGCTGTTGGGGTCGGGAGCTGCTTTGCTCTCGGTGCTTTGTGTGTTCTGCCGTTTTTTTCCATGCTTCGAGGAGGCCAGACAACCTCGACGGGACCTGGCCATCGCTCGGACGTCCATTCCCTGCTGTTTTTCGGTTTCGTGCGTGGTTTTGTCGCCGAATGATCAAGGATGCTCGATGGTCCTCGCCGAAGGAAAAATGCACAAGTCCGAGCGATGCCGAGGGACACCGCCTGAAGGCACCAGGGCCCTCTGCGGCTCCGCGGCGCCGGAGGCGACCCCGCCGGCGCGCCTGTGGTGCGCGTGGGCCCCGCCGACGACGGGCTCGCGACGAGAGGGAGGAGGCCGACGACGTCGACGACGCCGGCTCGGTGATCGGTCCTCCTCCTCCTCCTCCTCCTCCTCCTCTTCCTCCTCCTCCTCCTCTTCCTCCTCCTCCTCCTTCTCCTTCTCCTCCTCCTCCTCCTCCTCCTCCTCCTCCTCCTCCTCCTCCTCCCCTCCTCCTCCTCTCCTCCTCCTCCTCCTCCTCCTCCTCCTCCTCCTCCTCCTCCTCCTCCTCCTCCTCCTCCTCCTCCTCCTCCTCCTCCTCCTCCTCCTCCTCCTCCTCCTCCTCCTCCTCCTCCTCCCTCCTCCTCCTCCCCTCCTCTCCTCCTCCTCCTCCTCCTCCTCCTCCTCCTCCTCCTCCTCCTCCTCCTCCTCCTCCTCCTCCTCCTCCTCCTCCTCCTCCTCCTCCTATGGGCTTCTTACACCTGTCTGGGCCTACACGGGCTTGCGAGAGAGAGGAGGCCGACGACGTCGACGACGCTGGTTCGGGGATCGGGGACGGCGGCTTCGATGGGCTTCTGACGCATTTCTGGGCCTACGGGGGCGTCTTCGCCGCCACCACTGGAGCCGCCTCGCGAATCTGGCGGGTCGACGTCTGAGGGGCCGGACCCAAACAGACCGCTGGCGAGTGGACTTGCCCAACCTCCAATCGTTTTGGGCTTCGGCCTCCGAAGAAGAACTCTGGCTGGATTTTGAGATGGCATCGGCAGCGTCGACACTCATGGCCCGAGGACAGAAAAGAAGCAACAGGAAACTCAGGAGGTGGAGACAGTGGAAACGAGTAGCATGAGGAGTAAGGGAGGGGGGAGAAGTGTGAGAGGGGGCTCTCTCTCTCTCTCTCTCTCTATATATATATACACAGAGATATGTACATGTGTGTCTATGTCCGCCACCGCGCCTTGAGGTACGAGTTGGAATGACCTCAGGTCCTTGGCCTAACCCCTGAATATTATTCCTCAATCCTCGTAAGGGGCCCGGATCCCTAGCCCACAAATGTCTGGGGACTTGGCGGGTGCCTCCTGGGACGGGTCGAGTCTTGTCGCATGAAGGCACCGAGACGGGCCACGAGGGCCCCAAGAGACCCCCAAGACGGCCTGAGAGGGCATCGAATCGCGGAACAATCGGTCCAAGACGCTCGACATGGCCTCTAGTCGGCCCAACAAAAATGCCAAAGACGTCCCAAGAGGCCTCCAAGAGCTGTCCCAAGTTTGATTGTCCTTATGTGTTTTTACATGTGCGCCACCAAATGTTGTACACTCCTGTGGGATATTCCCGACGTGCCAAACCCATCGCAACCATCGCAAAAAATCAAACCCTGAAAATCGCCGAAGTTTCTTGGGCCAAGGTTGGGTTTCCTGCTTAGCTGCTGCAGGCGCAGAAACTCAGGGTACCCTGGGCCATTACTGATGGCTGACAGAACCTCAGCATCAAGACATTCAGGGTACCCTTACAGCTGCAGTCTCTCTGCGACTGGTGCAAGCCTTCAGTGCAAACACGAACCAAAGAAACCCAGGGTACCCTGGCGAACGTGCGTATGGTGTTTCTTGGCATGGGCTCCCACTGTACTGTACATCTGAGGGACGTCCCGAAAACTCGAGCCCCTCCTGAGTCCAAAGTGGTCCTTCGTTCAGGCGTTTTGACTGCACCAGGTCCCGTCCGCAACCATCCGAGGCCACCACCGAAGGCCTCCGAGACGTCGTCCAGGGCCACCCACCCGGACGCCGAGGCGTGCAGCATATTCTGGGGCAACACGGCTGGTCGGACCCCCCAAGAGGACTCCACGGGAGCGTCCAACACGCCTCCCCTGCCCCTTACATAGAAGATCGTACACCCACCCCTGACATCCGCCGATATGCCTTTTCAATCCGTGGTCTCAGAGATCCCGACCACCTCCCCCCCGGGAAGGTCTTTCGTCCCGGATACATGTTTTGAGGGTCCCAGGGCCCGATGACCGGCCCGAGAGGCCGGAATCGCAAGAGAACGCCAGGATTGAATAAACATACATCGTCGGAGATCTTAGAGGCCTCCTGGATGGGGTCCGAATAGATGGGGTCGAAGGATCGTGCCGCATCGCCAACGCATCGCCGATGTATCGGCGATGCATCGGCGACGTCGGCGTGGGGAAGCACGGACTCCACATCAAGCCGCATCGTCGATGCATCGGCGATGCGGCGCGATCCTCCGACCCATCCACTCGGACCCGATCTGGGAGGCCTAGAGATCTGGGACCCGACTCACCCGTGGGGCGCGGGAGGACCGAGTGGTGACCCGCAGGCTTACTCCAGATTTCGTAATAAAGGGAGGGTGGTCTCATTTCGAGGGGGGTCTCTTCCAGGCTATCTTGGAGGGCCTGGGGGGGGTCTGGGGACGATGTTTTGGAGGGTTCTCCCACGGGAGAGGTCTGAAATGGCTTGTCTTGGAGGGTCCAGACCCCCTCCCTTTTATTACGAAATCTGGAGTATCCTGACCTCCAGGGTTCCAGGAACGTCTGCACCTCCAGGATATGACGGGGCTCGCGTCGTCTGCCGCCTGGGCGACGTGGGCCCCGGTGGTAGTCGTCCGAACCGTCGGGCGGGCCCCGCCCACTCCTGAGCGAGCCCCGCCCTGCCCTGGGCGGTCGACTTGAGTTCGCCTTCTACCCGCAACTGTGGAGACTCTAGTGAGTGGCGCAAGCTCCGTTTGAACTCAGTTTAAACTCTCATTGGGAAGTCTGAAGAAAACAACAACAACAAAAAACAAAAAAACTCCAAGAACTCTGGGAAACTCCGGAACAACTCACAGAAAACTCCCGCTAATCTCCCGGGGAATCGCGACATCCACACGAATCATGGGGTCGACCAGGTCGACCCCATCTTTCGTGTGGATTTCGCGCCGTGGCCTGTTTCAAGCGGGTCCCGGGGCCAAAGCCTCGGGGGTGGGGGGACGCAAGGGTGGGGCATGAATGGGGGGGGCTGGCTCAGCGGGGCAGAGGGTGGGCTGAATCCAGAGGGGGGGGGGCATCGAGCTTGGCTCGGCGATACATCGCCGATAGATCGGCGCTAGGCTCTCGTTAGCGAAACGGCATGCTCCTGGGCTTTACGCCGCAGCACGTGGGTGTTACCCCTGAGGGTAGGGGCACAAGCGGGGCTTGAGGCAATTCGCTATCGCTATAAGCGGCCTCCGGAAGAAGGAAACGTGAGCATCCAGCTCTGGCATACCCCCCCTTCTACCGACGTGCCCCCCGAGAAACCAGCCAAACCTTGAACGGCCATGCCGGCGTCGACGCCGCGTCCAGGCGGCGGGAAGCCTGAAGCAGTGCCTCAGCTCCGCCTTCTCCTCCGAGTCTGAAGCAGCAAGCCCGCTGCAGCATCCAAGCACGCTCGCGATGCGACTCTGAGGGGACTGGGGACTGATCAAGCCCGAAGGTGCTCTCGGATCAAAGACTTCGTAATTACGTTCTGGTGCGAGGAGGGAAGGTGGGAAAGAGGAGGAGGAGGATATAAAAGATCATGGTAAAGCCCGTGGAAGGAGGAGGGCTGAGGGAGAAGGACGCAGGGAGGAGGGAGACGGGGTCGAACACGTATCAAGAAGGGGAAGTCTACCGATTTCTCTGCCAGCCCTACAACTACCTCCAGACACACTGTGAATCACGACGGTGAGCTACCTACAGCAATCGAAAGCTCTGCCACAGGCTGCAAGAGCGAGTCACGTCTGGAGGGTGATGTGGGAAGGAGGACGAACGGGGAAAAAGGTGGGTCGAAAACTGTCGAGGGAAGAAGAAGAGACGAGGGAGGCGGAGAGAGGTTGGGAGAACAAGAAACGAGAGACGACAGGAACGATGATGACTCGATGACGAGGTCGAGAGATAGAGGGAGGACAAGGCGAAACAGCAGCAGGAGGAGTGGAGGGGTGCATTGGGAGAGAACGAGCGAGAGGAGGACCATGCGGGCGAGGATGGAGGAGGGGCAGAACCGCGAGAAAGGCAGGACAAAAAAGCACTCGCATCCGCTGGCGCGCCACGACCTCGCCCGGCCCTCGCCGCCCGACGACCAAGACCTGCTCGCTCACCCCCGGGGCACCCCTCGGGCCGGAGCCCGCGCGTGCCCAAGCGAGGCCTCATCCGCAGGTCTGCCCGACGACGGAGCGGCCCTGGCCGTGCTGGCAGGGGCCGCGCGGGCGAGAAAAACGGCAGCCTGTGCAACCTTCGGTCGAGCGGTGCCGCCGACACTGTGGGGGAACAAAAAACGTCACATGAGCACAAAAGCTCGGAGGTCCGCGCGGATCTCTCGGATCGGCGGCGCTGGGCCCCTCCTCCCTGGCGCGCGGAGCGCGCCAGGGGCGGCGCCGGAGGCGCCGCCAAGGGGGCTCCAGCGCGGATCCGAGAAATCTGCGCGGACCTCCGAGTTTTTATGTTCATGTCATTGCTTGTTCCCCTCAGAGAAACGGAAGCCTGTGCAGTCTTCGGTCGAGCGGTGCCGCCGACACTGCAGAGAGGAACCGGCACTGGCACAAACAGCAGAACTCTGAGGTCAGCGCGGATTCCTCCGAGCGGCGCCCCCTCCCCGGCGCGCGGAGCACGCCAGGGGCGGCGCCGGAGGCGCCGCCGGATGGCCCCAGAGCCGATCCGAGGAATCTGCGCGGACCTCCATTACTTGTTCCCCGATGCACTCACCAGGGGTGGGGGCAACTCAAACCACCCAAAATGAAAAATGGTGTGGCGGCCCCCAGGAGGGGACGCACAAGAAAGCAAGGAGAGGCAGCAGCAGGAAAAGACTGGTCTACGGACGCTTAACTAGACCCAACTTTCGTCGGGACGAGCTGCTCGCTGGAGAAGCCCCAACCCTCGGGCAGGTCGTCCTTCAGTCCGTAGCAGTGGTGCCTGACGTCTGTCATCACAGTGTCGCCCATCCCTGTCACCCTCTTCACGCCCTTCCAGATCGCGCCGCGATTCCTGGCGAAGAGGCCGTACGCGGCGTCCCTGATGAACGGCGGCACGCCGAGCGCCACGAGGGCCACCCCGCTCCAAGGGTGCTTGATGTGCCGGAGCGCCCGGAGGACCGCGGAGCTGCTCTTGTAGGCGGCCTCCCCGTCGATGAACACGGCCGTCGAGACGTCCGCGGGCATGGAGTACTCCCTGCACAGCTCCTGGGCCAGCTCGGTCTGTATCGGGCTGAACGCCAGGTGGCAGTGGGTGTCTCGCGCGACGACGGGAGGCCGGAGGTGCACGCAGGCCGCAGCACACCAGCCGCGGACGTCCGCAGACGGCACACCCCGCAGGTGCCCGGACGCCCTCCCTGCAACCCCTGCCTGTCGCCCAGGCCCCCTTTCGGCGCCCTCCTGACGGGTGCTCCACTGGCGGGTACTTTGGCCTGGCCAACCCCCCGGCAAACCCAACCCTTCCCGAGGCGGGGCTGCACGGTGCCCGACCGAGGGAGAGGCCCCGCGAAGGCAGCTTCGGGCGGCCTTCCCGAGTGCCCGTCGGTGAGTACCCGTTGCGGAGCCGCCGGCGCTGCCGCGGCACGCACGAGAAGACCGCCAGGGGCACTCTGGTGGGGAGGGGGCCCGGAAGGGCGGGCGGGCATCGGCCGCCCGCGGGCGCCGAGCGGGCGGCACTCCCCCAGGCGCTCCGCACCCGGGGGCGCGCACGACGCGCGGCGCGCGAGCTCCTGGTCTTCCCCATATCGTCTGGCCTTCATGGGCCCCGGAAACGACAGGGCCGTTCTTTTTTACCGTTTCCGACAACAAAGTGTCCCTTGGAAATGGGAACGATAAAGCGTCCCGGCGACCAGAAACGGCAACAAAAACGGCTCCAAGATTGGAACTGGAACCGGAACCCGTCAAAAAACGGCGACGGAATCGGTAGCAAAAACGGCATCGGAACCAGCAACAAAAACGGCAAAACGGCACCGGTAAAAAAGCGGCCCTGTCGTTTCCAGGGCCCACTAAGCGTCTGGCCACCTCAGAGCCGAAGGGTTGGAGGGTTGGAGGGTTCAAGGGCTCAGCGCTTCATTCTGAGGTCGGCTCTGAGCTCGGAAGGCTGCGGCGAACCGAGCGGCGAGGAGAACCGGGTCTTGCGCGGGGTGGCACAGCGACCCGACGCCGCAGCTTACGCGGGCGTCCAACGCGGCATGCTACGCCGGCAGCGAGGGCGCTCACGCGCGGCCGTGCGCGGGCACCTTACGCGCCCATGTTGGCGCAGACGACCCCGTTTGTCTTGCGTCGCTCAGTTGGCTTTGAGGTTGGAGGGTTGGGGGAGGGGTTGCATTCGGGGTGGAGGCCAGGGCTGAAAGGGTCGGGGGGAAGGTCGAATCCAGGCTGGGGGCCTGAAGCCGAGCTTCGGCCTCAGGTCAGCCCCTTCTACCTTCGCGCTCCCGAGCGGCCAGCCCCCTGGAGGGGGAGAAGGCGAAGGCCAGCCCTCCGGCCCGGGCCGCGACCAACAAAAACATCAAAATCGTGAGACGCGCGCGCGAGGAGCGCGATGCTGCAGCCTCGCGGGGCCCCTGCCCGCGAGCGATGGTCGTCCCTCGGCCTGCATGCTCCCCCGAGGCCTCCCCCGGGATAGACGGCGGCGCGCCCCTGGGGGGGGGCGGAAGGCGCGAGAGGGAGCGGGCGTCCTCGGGAGGCTCGGGGGGGCCTCGGGCCTCCGGGGAAGATCTCTCCCGGCGAGCGAGCAAACGACACGCCAGCCTCGAAACGGAGGGAAGGAACGAGAGCGAACGAAGTTAACGCGAACGATCCTCAACGACAACGAGTCTCTCCCAATGAACGAGCGAGATCCCCCAGCGAGCGAACGACCGAAAAATCCCCCGTCGGCCTGGAGGCCGTCTCGAGACGGGTGGCGCGGTGGCGCCCACGCGCCCTCGGTGACGCCGGAGACTTCTCGGAAGACCGGGGGGCCTCTGAGAAGCCCCGGCTTCCGAGAAACCCTGCTCTCCCTCTCGCCTTCCCCCCTCTGGGCGCGCCGCCGGGATGAGGAACCGCACGGAGAACTTTCAGACGCCTCAGCCCCCGTCGTACAGGAAGATCGCCTTGGGCCTGCCCAGGGCGTCGAGCCCAAAGCGGGAGCCCGGTGGGGTCGGCGGGCCATCGGCGCCCATGCTCCTCCGGGGTGGTCCGCACCGGCGGGCAGATGCCGACTCGAGCCGAAACAGCTGGAGCCGAACGACTACGGAGGAACCGCAGCAGGGCCAAACGAGCCGAGCAGGAGCAGGAGCGGGAGCGGAAGCGGGAGGGCAGAGAGCAGGGAGAGAACAAGCGGGAATATCTGGAGGCGGCGGAGGGGACGGCGTACGTAGGAGGCGGAGGAGGAGCAGGAGGAGGAGGAGGACGAGGAGGATGAGGAAGAGCAGGAGGAGGAGGAGGAATAGTAGGAAGAGGAGGAGGAAGAAGGAGGAGGAGGAGATAGAGAAGGAGGAGGAGGAGCATCAGCAGGGGCAGGAGGAGCAACGAAAATATCAGAAGGAGCTCGAGGACGGTGCGAGTGCGCAGGATGAGGAGGGGAATAAAAATTAGCCAGACGAAAGACCCAACGATACGCAGGTGTGAGTACCGCAATTGTGATTCCCTTGTTCGCTGGTGATCCCTATGGGGCAACGAACCGTGCTAGTGGTGTGCCGAAATGAATGGCGTGGTACAAAACGCGAACGAAAACGATTGATCTGAGTACGTAGGGAGACTGAGCGCGGGCGAATCTGAGCGCGAGTGCGTTTGACTGTGAATGAATCTGCGTGAGAGCGAGTCTACGTGCACGAATGCGAGTATGCCAATGCATGGTGCAATTGTATATGTATGCTAATAGTTTGTGAACGACTGCCTCTGAGTACTCGTGACGCTGGGCGTGACCGCCGCAAGGAGCTTCCCCGGGACTCCCCGACGGCATCGCCCGCGCGCCGCGACGCCACCGCGAGGATCGCGCCCGCTTCCTCCCCTTCTTTTACTCCCTCTTTGCCCGCGCACTCAAAAGTCCCAAGCTGCGGGCGCAGCGCAGCGCGGAGTCCCAGCGACGCGCGCAGGTCGCCCCTGAGGGGTCGCGCGCGGGTCGTCCGCTGCGCGCAGCAAAGAGAGCTAGCTGGCTGGCTGATAGCGGGCAAGGCTCTTGCCGCTGGGCAGAGCGACGACGGGCGAGGGAGGCGCGGAACTCCGACGGCCTCCGACGGAGGTGTACTGGGTGGGGGAGACGCGTGCGGACTGCGCCACGGGGACCTTCGGTGGAACTCCCTATGGGGCCACGAAACGCGTGAAGGGTGTGCCGAAATGGTGTGCGGGACGAATGCGGGCACACCCACTCGGACCTTCGGTGGAGCTCCGTATGGGGCCACGAAACGTGTGAAGGCTGTACCGAAATGGGTGTGCGGGACGCATGCGGGCACACCCACTGGGACCTTCGGCGGAGCTCCCTATGGGGCCACGAAACGTGTGAAGGGTGTGCCGAAATGGGTGTGCGGGACGCATGCGGGCACACCCACTCGGACCTTCGGTGGAGCTCCCTATGGGGCCACGGAACGTGTGAAGGCTGTACCGAAATGGGTGTGCGGGACGCATGCGGGCACACCCACTGGGACCTTCGGTGGAGCTCCCCATGGGGCCACGAACATGTGAAAGGTGTGCCAAAATGGGTGTGCGGGACGCATGCGGGCACACCCACTGGGACCTTCGGTGGGGCCCCCTATGGGGCCACGAAACGTGTGAGGGGTGTGCCGAAATGTGTGTGCGGGACGCATGCGGGCACACCCACTGGGACCTTCGGTGGAGCTCCCTATGGGGCCACGAAACGTGTGAGGGTGTACCGAAATGGGTGTGCGGGACGCATGCGGGCACACCCACTGGGACCTTCGGTGGAGCTCCCTATGGGGCCACGAAACGTGTGAGGGGTGTGCCGAAATGGGTGTGCGGGACGCATGCGGGCACACCCACTGGGACCTTCGGTGGAGCTCCCTATGGGGCCACGAAACGTGTGAGGGGTGTGCCGAAATGGGTGTGCGGGACGCATGCGGGCACACCCACTGGGACCTTCGGTGGAGCTCCCTATGGGGCCACGAAACGTGTGAAGGGTGTGCCGAAATGGGTGTGCGGGACGCATGCGGGCACACCCACTGGGACCTTCGGCGGAGCTCCCTATGGGGCCACGCAACGTGTGAGGGGTGTGCCGAAATATGTGATGACGATGATGATGCTGGGAGGAGGAGGAGGAGCGAGCGAGCGAGCGAGCGAGCGAGCGAGCGAGCGAGCGAGCGAGCGAGCGAGCGAGCAGAAGCCGAGGGGCGGTTGGATCCAGGCAGAGAGAGGGCAGGCACACCCCTCAACCCCCTTCCCTAGCACCTGCACGATGGAGCCCGAAGGCCAGGACCACCTTGCAAGCACCAGGGCTGGGGGTGAGGGGCATGCCTGCCCCGCAGAAGGCCGCGCGGGCGGCCAGGGTGCACGGGGCCTGCGGCAGGCCCGTGCTCACCAGCACGAGGCCCGCCGCGGCGGGGAAGAGCACCCACAGGGCTCCCAGCGCCACGAGCGGGGGGCCCTCGCACACGTGGTACACTGGGAAGACCACGACACAAGAGTCCAGCACGGTGCCGAACTTCGCCTGGCCCAGCAGCTCCAGCAGGAGGAAGGGGCCAAACGCGCCGAAGATGTCGGCGAAAAAGCAAAACAAGTTCAGCCAGGCTGGATCAAACACCACGACGCCCGAGCTGCAATGTCCAGCAAAACCCCCCCCGCCCCTGCATGCGCTGTTGCCCGCCCGCGACCAAGTCCAGCGTGCGGGTGCCCTAGCAGGGGCCAGAGGGGTGGCGACACGAACCTGGGTATACCAGGATTTGGATGGCAAACTCCAAGGCGTGTCGCTACACCATATCAGGGTCGACATCGTCATCACTGTCGTCCTCTCTTGGAGCTCCCAACTCCAAAGCTTCAGGGAAGGTGAGTCCGTGGTCGAGGAGCACAGCGGACGTGTCTAGATATCTTTGCGGCTCCGCGCGACACTTGCCTTTCGGACGGAAGTCTATGTCAGGCTGGTCGCTCAGCGGGTCCTTCCAACCTTTGGCTCGGCACATGATTGTACGAACCTTCGCAGAGGGCCTCCTGCCGCACATCAACTTGATCTCTTTGTGCAGTGTCTGGGGGTGCCGCAGGTTCTCAAAGTGCCGAGTGTTCTCGTCAATCCTGCCGCTGCCCCCTTCTCTGCCACAACAAACATGATCGA